TGCACTCCAGCCTGGGTAACAAGAGCGAAACTCCGTCTCAAAAAAAAAAAAAAAAAAAAGGTGTTTTTGTCATTTCTACTTGGGCTTCGGTATTTTTCTGGATAGAAGTAAAATAAGTCTAATTTCTTATTATTGTGTCAATATCCAAGCATTAGCTATATCTAAATCCAAGATATAGACATCTATAGCTATGCCACACTATCCAAGCAATATCTGTAGCTAAAGATATAGTTATATGGATATTTTGAGAAAAGGTCTTGTTGTGTTGCCCAGGCTGTAGTGCTGTGGTGGGATCTTGGCTCACTGCAACCTCCACCTCCAGGGTTCAAGTGATTCTCATGCCTTAGCCTCCTGAATACCTGGGACAACAGGTATATGCCATCATGCCTGGTTAATTTATGTATGTTTTGTAGAGATGGGGTTTTGCCATGTTGGCCCTCACAATGGAAGTTGGCAAATGAATACTTGAGAGATCTCAGATACAGAGTAAGTGTTGGAGGTGAGTGATACTGAACTGCGAGGGACATGCACCATTTCTGAAGTGATGTTTAAATGAACCTATGACTAATCCTGCGGTTAAGTAAAATTTAGAGACAACTTCCAAATCTTCAGTATTGGTGTATTGTTTTCCAGCCTGTGGATTGGAGTTTTGTCTGAGACATTGTCAGTAAGCAGGACTCTTCACTATACAGGGTCCAGGAAAATTAACAATATTCAACTTTGTAGTCTATAACCTGTAAAATCTTTTATCGGTTATACAAAATATTGTGGGTCCAAAGTCTGGCACCCATTTGATTTGGTTACAATGCATTAATTTATTATGCAATAAGCACAGACATACAATTAAATTCTGTTTACATCCTTCCCTTTCTCCGCAGAGCACAAATTATATGTGCTCTTTTTTAGTGCCTTAGACAAGTATTCATACGACCCTTCATTTTGGGAGACAATAAAAAATTATAGTGATGATGGAAGTTATCAGTATTTACCACTTTTTTTTTTGGGACGGAGTTTCGCTCTTGTTACCCAGGCTGGAGTGCAATGGCGCGATCTCGGCTCACCGCAACCTCCGCCTCCTGGGTTCAGGCAATTCTCCTGCCTCAGCCTCCTGAGTAGCTGAGATTACAGGCACGCACCACCATGCCCAGCTAATGTTTTGTATTTTTAGTAGAGACGGTTTCTCCAAGTTGGTCAGGCTGGTCTCAAACTCCTGACCTCACTCAGGTGATCAGCCCACCTTGGCCTCCCAAAGTGCTGTGATTACAGGTGTGAGCCACCGCGCCCGGCCCAGTATTTACCACTTTTGAAGCACTGCAGATAGCTGTTTGGATGGTCAGTATATCACCATACGGTTAACATACGTGTCACAAATAACAGTCACTGTCATTAATGAACAGGATTTGGAAAACTTTTGCCAACATGGCACTTTTGAGTACAAAAAATAAAAGGTTTACAAGAAGATACAGTAAAAACAAAAACTGTAAGGCCGAGGCAGGTGGATCAAGAGGTCAAGAGATCGAGACCATCCTGGTCAACGTGGTGAAACCCCGTCTCTACTAAAAATACAGAAAATTAGCTGGGCATGGTGGCGCGTGCCTGTAATCCCAGCTACTCAGGAGACTGAGGCAGGAGAACTGCCTGAACCCAGGAGGGGGAGGTTGCAGTGAGCCGAGATCGCGCCATTGCACTCCAGCCTGGGTAACAAGAGCGAAACTCCGACTCAAAGGAAAAAAAAAAAACACTGTAGTGAAACAGATTAGTAGTTTACATCACTGGGAAAAATGAGCCAATTTTAATCCTTCTTCTACTCCAGATGTTCACAAGTCTTAGTTTGGGTCACTACAACGAAGTTCCATAGACTTTGGGTGGCTTGGAAACGCTAGATATTTATTTTTCAGTTCTGGAGGCTGGAAGTCTGGAGGCTGAACTCTGCTGAGGATCCTCTTTGAGGCGGCGGACTGTCATCTTCTTGTGGCATCCCCACGATAGAAAGAGTGTGAGAGAGATCTTTGGGTCCTCTTTATAAGGGCATCACTCTCATTCATGAGTGCTCCACCCTCATGGCCTAATTACCTCCCAAACGGCACACTTCCTAATACCATCACAGGGATGAATGAAAGGTTAGGATTTCGATGTATGAATTTTGGGGGAACACATTCAGTTCATTGCAAGATGTTCCCTGTATGTATGGCTCTTTTTTTTTTTTTGAGATGGAGTTTCACTCTTGCTGCCCAGGCTGGAGGGCAATGGTGTGATCTTGGCTCACCGCAATCTCCGCCTCCCAGGCTCAAGCAATTCTCCTGCCTCAGCCTCCTGAGTAGCTGAGATTACAGGCATGCACTACCATGCCTGGCTAATTTTGTATTTTTAGTAGAGACGGTTTCTCCAAGTTGGTCAGGCTGGTCTCAAACTCCTGACCTCACTCAGGTGATCAGCCCACCTTGGCCTCCCAAAGTGCTGTGATTACAGGTGTGAGCCACCGTGCCCAGGCTACATGGCTCTTTAATTATGAATGCTGGTTCTTTTGTATTAATAATGTTCTGTAGTGTGATAAACAGTTCCCCATAAGGAGCAAAATGAAGAACTGAAGTACCGGATTTGCTTGCTCCTAGAGAGCTGCTAACCATATTTTCCCTATGATGAGCCTGATGCCATTAGTTACTGCTTCTGCCACTATAGTTAGCTCAAAAATTGGATCCATCCCTGAGAGTAAGTGAAAGAGAGCATTGACTGGGCTAGGAGGAATGCTGCGTGTGGTCCTGAAGAATGTTTTCCGTAATCTGCACTCTACATAGCTCTGAAGAAAACACTGTGGTTGTGGAGAACCAGGACTGAAACAATGGAACCTGGAAATGGCCACAGTTCCATTTCAGTCGACAGCTTGAAACCCATTCACAAAAGGCTTCACATTACATTTATTATGGTTATAAATGTTTTCCTGGAATGTCACATTGAAGAATAGTAGGTATTAATTTTTCTCATATCATTCGTTTCTTGAACAGAAAGGCACTATGTCTCAGTTTGGACACATACTAGCTCTGGATCCTTGAACAAATTATGAAACTTCTCTGATTCTTCAATTCCTCATCTGGAATTTTTTCCTGTTCTCTTGATGCCACTCTGTTTACCCCCAGTGTAATGACTGAAAGCTGAGAGAGGGCCCCCAGTGTGCATGGGTGGCAATTCCTTGTGTATTCCCCAGCACAAAGTTTGCATCCTATTAGTGTCTCCCAGCTTGATGAGCCACTTATGTATCCTTATGATGATGAGAGAATTCCCTGCAAGTTGGAGGGTAGATGAGCTCTTTGAATTCTGAGGATAAGAATAATAAATAGCTGATGTACTGTAACTATCAACATCCTAATAATTAAGCACACACCCCTTCACAGTATCAGCTGTTGTCACAACTTCTCAGAAAAATAATTGATCTCCCTTCCCGAAAAAGTAAAAGTCAATTTGTTTTTGTTTTTTTTCTTTTTTTTTAAAGACGGGGCTTCACCATGTTGGTCAGGCTGGTCTTGAACTCCTGACCTCAGGTGATCCGCCCACCTTGGCCTCCAAAGTGCTTGGATTACAGGCATGAGCCACTGCGCCCGGCCGTAAAAGTCAATTTGATGTCTCTAAGCAATTGCATGCAAAACTCTCTAAGTGTAAATGTTTTGGAAAAAAAAAAAAAAATTTCAGCTGCAAAGTCAATAGGTGCTTATTGTGAAAATCAAGCATTTGGAAATGTTTTTACAAACATGCACATGAAGTTGCTTTAAGTTCAGCTCTGTAAACCCCGTAAAATGAGACAAAGCTGTAAGCTAAAAAGGTTAAGCGTAAGTAATGAGTTAAGTGAATGCCTAAAGTAAAGCTATTTGTAATACTTTGACAGAATGATGAGTTATGAGACTCTGAAGCAGAAATGAGGAGAAAAGCTCCACAGGCGTGTGTCAAGGTGAGATACCTCTCTCCTCTCTTGAAAGGGGGGCATCAATTCCCACAGTACTTCAGGCTTCATAGTCGGATAAGAAGTCAGGCCGGGCGCGGTGGCTCAAGCCTGTAATCCCAGCATGTGGGAGGCCAAGGCGGGTGGATCACAAGGTCAAGAGATCGAGACCATCCTGGTCAACATGGTGAAACCCCATCTCTACTAAAAATACAAAAAATTAGCTGGGCATGGTGGCACGTGCCTGTAATCCCAGCGACTCAGGAGGCTGGGGCAGGAGAATTGCCTGAACCTGGGAGGCGGAGGTTGCGGTGAGCCAAGATCGCGCCATTGCACTCCAGCCTGGGTAACTAGAGCAAAACTCCGTCTCCAAAAAAAAAAAAAAAAAAAAGAACTCTAAGCAAGTCGCCCCAAGTTGCAATTGTTTTGCAGATTGCCCCCACACAACTCCAGGAAGAGTTCCCCCCATCTCTGAGTCTGTGTAGGCAATTGCTCAGCAATTAGAAGCTTTCCTCCTGTGTTGACCAAGGTAGCTAGGAGCCAACTAAGAGTTCCTCTTTTCCATCCACTGCTTTGCCACATTGCTTGTTGACTTGAGGCCGAAACGTCTTCTAAGGAGAAAAGTTAAGAAACATTAATTAGGGTTTTGAAATTCAAACCCTAAACAACCCTGTAAATTTGATAGCAATCGCCAAATTGCCATCTAAAAAGGAAATTTACAATTCCATAAACAGTTTTCTGACACTTTTTGATGAAATTGGATCTCATTCATCTTTTTAGTTTCAGCCAATCTTATTTTTCATTATTTTTTACTTAAAATAAATAGTGTTACTATAAAAGGACACATTTTTGCACATTGTAAACTACTTATTTTTCCTGAGGCAGAGTCTCACTCTGTCGCCCAGGCTGGAGTACAGTGGTACAATCTCCACTCACTGCCACCTCTGCCTCCCGGCTTCAAGCAATTCTTCTGCCTCAGCCTCCTGAGTAGCTGGGATTACAGGCATTTACCACCATGCCTGGCTAATTTCTGTATTTTTAGTCAGGCTGGTTTCAAACTCCTGACCTCAGGGGATCCGCCTGCCTCAGCGTCCCAAAATGCTGGGATTACAGGTATGAGCCACGGCACCTGGCTCTTCTATTTCTTTCATGAATTGTTTGTTTATGGCTTCCGTTCTATTTCAAAATAGGTTTTTGTTTTTGTATTGATCCATAGGAATTTTTTTCACATATGCTGTATATTCTCCCTTTTAAAAAGTAATATGTTGCACTTATTTCCTGTCAGTTGCCCTATTTATGGTTTCCACCGTACAGATGTTGTACGTGTTCAGGAGTTTGGGATGAGTTTATTCCCAGTCTCACCATCCCACCTCCCCTCACCCCCAGCCTTCAGTAAAAGAGAATGAGCAACTAAAACCTCTGACACTTTGACAGAACTGGTAGAATATGAGGACACCATCATTTATGAGGTTGCAAATAAGCTTCCTGGTAGACTTGACTCCTTTTTTTGTACAATCACAATACGGTGGATATTTGCATACGCAAAAACGTAGCTGAGACTCCAGCCTGAAGCAGAGATTTTGGAGAAGTATGACTCTGCTTAAAGCAACTAAACTGCTTTTTGGTAATGTGATACATTTTCTACACTGTGGACAGTCATAGCTCTAAATTAGGATTTAGACTGCTTAGGCACTTATTCTTTTTGAGATGTACATATTCTTTAAATAACTGCTTATAGGAGATAAAACGCCAAGACAGTCAGAAGACTGCACTGGCAGGATTTTCTCCTCGAGTTGGAGGAAGGATTGTATGTAAAAAGGATTAGCTTGGTGAAGCTCAGTCATGAATGAGATAGTATTTAAAAGTGAACTCAATGTTCTCTGACCAATGTGTCAAATTAAAAAAAAACAATGGAACTTGACCTTGAAAATTGTTTTTAAAAAGAAACCTTTTGAACATGTACTGTAAAAAAAAAAGTTGCCGGGCGTGGTGGCTCAAGCCTGTAATCCCAGCACTTTGGGAGGCCGAGGCGGGTGGATCACAAGGTCAAGAGATCAAGACCATCCTGGTCAACATGGTGAAACCCCGTCTCTACTACAACTACAAAAAATTAGCTGGGCATGGTGGAGTGCCTGTA